GAGAGGTACAAATTCAGGCGGAGCCTTTCTCTCAAGGCTGTGGACGTACTCGTAGCACAGGGCGTCCAGATCGCGGGGTACAGGCTGCAGGGCCAGGCTGTCGAGCTTGAACTGCGTTTGCTGGATATGGTGCTCATATGCGTGGTAACATTCGGTAAGCGCAGCTTTTGTTTGGCACCCGGTGAATGCAAGCCACGTCACTGGTTCACGCCACTACAACGAATCCTAACCCCAGCCAGGAATACCCGCACACCCTACACCATGCACAAAGCCATTCAAGATTTCCATGACAGATGACATGTGGCATTCAGAGCTTGCGAAGTTTCGGCCCCAAGTGGACATTGACAGTTGCGATGCTTTACTTCCCAGAATGTCCGATGTTGAAAAAGCAAAGCACTTAAGATACGACCCCGTCGTTGGGTCTTGAAAGCCGGCTCTGCAAAAGCGAAGATTAATACTTAGGCCTCACTCCTCGAGCCGAGAAAGACTCAATCCCCAAACCCTCCAGTCATGGTGGCAAACTGCAGGCCGCCATTCAACGCGTGACCCCTCACCGAGCGCACGAAAGGCTCTGGAGAATGGTTATGTCCTGTGACTGTTGCCATCACGATTGTACAAGTGTGGTCTTAGATTGACTGTTAGGTATGACTCCCGACGCAGCAAGGCTTCCCGACCCTAGAGCGATGTGGTAAGCGAATGCGAGATCGTCTTCTTTTCTGAGGAAGGTTGACGTGCTAAGCGGTGATCTCACTTCTGCAACTGTCAGCCGAAAGATTTGGCATCCACCTCCTCAAACCCCTGAACACCACAAGCTCCTCTGCTCTCCGCATGGCCACCAGAAGCTGTGGTAGCTCGGTGCCTTATGCTATACAATCGAGTACGTACATACTGGAACCCTGCTCCGAACTCGAACACATGCTCCCCGCTGACGCAAAATCCCTAAGGGACTGTAGGCTGGCGATGCATAAAACATGTGGAGACATGAGGGTTTTACTACGTGTGGTGTGAATACTTGGGGGGTCGGGGGACTTAGTAAGTAGTTAGTAAGTAGACTTATAAGTACGGTAAGAGGGACCCTAATTGGGGTTATGGTACTTATAAGTCCCTAAAATAACCAGTTACTAAGTCCCCCGACCCTCCAAGTATGTTGTCCAGCACACGACAGTCTAGTTCCCGGTGGTTTGCATCAACATGGCATGCTATGCGTGCGTACATACATGCGTGCCGACATGCACGCATACAACACGCACTGGCATTCGCACATACATCGATGCGTCGCATAGTAGATGCGTACCTGCACACGTGCATGTGCAGCCAGATGATAAACATGGACATACTTTTCCAATACCTGAGCCACATCTGTCGCCGATGCAGGCATCAGGCAGCAGCCTCAATTTACTGCCGAATGTAAGTACTCCTTCACGGATTTGTCGGTAGTTGAAGAGAGTTGCCCGGTCCAATCGTGTTTCTGGTTTTTGTGGTTCTTATTTGCGGAGCCATGTTGGTCTTTGGACCTGCAAGCCTTGGAAGCGTCGAGTGAAGTTTCAGAGTGCATTGGGCTGAACTGGCTTGCGTTCTGGGCTTCACAAGTTTAGACTTGGCTTGCTCTACTCATCTACCTGATTCCACTCGAGTTGATCTCAGATTTATAGGGCTTTCCTGGACGTCAGCCTGGGGGCAAAGTGATTGAAACGGGTTAAGTTCATAGACGGGCCATCCTCGGGTCCGGATCGCATGCCGAGTTCTGGAACACGAACTTCCCGCAAGACTACAATTGGCTGGAGGTGCGGAAGCGACAAGGTTTGACTTGCAGTAGATGTAGACGCGAGTCTTACGGTTTTGTGTGTGTCTCAGGTTTTGTGCTCAGGACAAGGATTCCGGAGGTGGGTCTTCATTAAGATGAGGTTGTACCATGTTCGGGCAAGTCGCAAGTTTTAGCAGAATGAAGCAAGCTTAGCGCTTGCTCGACTTCACAACGAAGCCCAAAGCCCCCTTGAGCCTCGCAAGAACCGCCACGCTACGCTACGCTTAGCTCTCAGCCCCGAGCCAACCGAGCCCAACCCCAACGAGCCCAAGAGTTTCTGCTTGCAGCCGCCCATCTGGAGCATCGCCAAGAACCTTTCGCGGGGGATGAAGTGCAAAGACCTCTCCACTCTCCAGGCACGGACGCGATTTCGAACGGGATTCAGGGCTGCCAGAGCTATTCTTTAGGCATATGTAGGCGAAGGCGTAAGGAGTGTGGTTAGACCTCTTGATTAACGCTTGGGTGTTGATAGCTTCCGGTGCACAGTATCATAAAGTATCCACGGTGCCATCATGAATACGATCATGCCATGCTGTTGGTGCCGGTGTTTGTTGTCAACTTGTTAAAAGGAGAAGCGGGAAATGCCGCAGGATTACATGCCTCTTTTCTTCGTTTGCGGCGCGTGCGCAGGCCTCAGTGTGCTGCGAACGTGAAGAGAAGAGTGACTATGTGAGAAGCACAAAACCCCACAGCAGTGGAAATCCGAAGCCTGACAGCCATATGTCAGCCCTTGGCCCTGCAATCCGAACACGTCCTGAACTTACGGCCTTGCCGAAACTAGTTGGACAAAGAGCCCACAGCTCCTTGAGCCTTCTGCTCTCTACGACGAAGCTTCAAGTCAATGCCAAGGTCCAAACTCTTTTTGCGGCATGCAGGCGCGACTTCGGACGCGTTCACCACTTTGCTTATTGTAGAGCCCCCCTTCTTCCATCTTCTTCCTTCCAGCCTTGGAGGCTCCTTGGAGGCTAGAGCTGGTTCGAAGTTTGGGTGTCCGTGTTCCTCAGGCGATGCACCTTTGGTTCGCAGAGCCTCAAACAGCGTCAGGCTGTCATGTACAGTGCCTCCGCCGCAGACGCTTTTGACATCGACTTTTGGTGGGCTTCGTCCTCAGACAGTGACTTCGTGATGGGTGCCGGAGCTGTGCACGGAATTTTGTGGGCCTTTGCGGGCCCTGCCGGTCATCACCATCATCATCAGCATCACCAGCATCAGTGTCATCACTTGAATCATGCACCGGTTGCGTTGTTCCTTGTCAGTGTTGCTGTGTTGCCGCTGTGGTCGTGACGTTGGTGCCGGCGGGCTGGTGGAGTGGTGCGGTGTGTGTCTTTAGAGATCGATGTTGCCACATGTTGGAGACGCCTCGACAAGCTTCCAACAGCCACAGTTCTCTTGCGTTCCAGACTCGATGACAAAGTTGCAGCTCAACCACATTTGCGGTTTAGGACCAAGGGTCACAAGTCTGGCTTCGCGAGACACCGACCTGTGCGCGAGATAAATTGCACAGATGTTCGTCGTTCGACAGCTGTGCAGACGGCTCATGATTTCTACATGGTTCTGCCAATTCAAGCGTCCCTGTTGCCTTTGGCAAGCGTCCTCCAAGCCAGCAGGAATCGTTGTTTGCCACGCTTGCTTGTCCTCTGATTCAAAGTGTTGCTGCGGGCTGTGCCGACATGTTGACATCACCACGACCCGGTCCATCAAGTAAGGCGTCCGTTGTTTTATCCTTTAATTACCACTGCTGGTTCATAGTTTGGGCATTCTGCAGCTGCGCAAAGTACTTGCCGCGATCTGTGGCAGACCTCCAGGTGAAGCCACGCAAGGAGGACCCACAAAACATTGAGACAGAGACGCTCTGCCGCCATGCGAAGGCAGTTGGGAGTGCTTCAGGGCCAAAGGGAGTGAAGTGACCATGCAAAGCGATCTCCGTTGCAATCGAAAGGACGGACCCTCCAACCAATGGCATGTGGATGCAGGTATGTAGTCAGGCAGACCAGCAGGCACACGGCGTGTGAGTCCTCACGGATTTGGGGTTCCTTCGCCTTGCCAGTCGTAGCGGTTATGAGTTATGACTCTAGTAGTCCGCACGAGCTTTTGTCAACGGCCCAACCACAACCGGGCCAAGCTACCCGTGCATGTTGCTTCGCTGCAAAGCAGAGCAACGGCAGGTTCCAGGGTATTGTGACAGCAATAGTGCAACCGGATACGACAATGATCAAGCAACATCTGTGAAAATGTCCTGATTTCCGCCAGGGGCCTCACAAGAACGATCCTGGCAGGCTAGCTTTGCCAGTACCTTTCAGAGTCGGCGCTTCAAGTCCACTTCAAGGTCTTTGTAGCTTTCAGGGTCAACAGATGCAAGATATCGGGTTTTGTGTCTTGGGTCTTCAGTTTAAGGTTTAATCGGGCTCGGCTCCGATGTAATTAAGCACTTGGACTTGGCTCGAAGTCTTTTGCTGTCTGTGGTCTTTGAGGCAGGATAAGGATGGAGGGTTTCACCTAGAGTGTAGAGTCTGCAGAGGGCGACAATGCCTCGCGGGGACTTCTGAGTTGAGGTGTGTTTAAGTCAGCATCTGACTCCTAGAGCGCCCTCAGGCTACGCATGGTTCGCTGAATCGTGTCAGGTCAAAGCAGTTTTACAAGCCAATTGCGGACCTGTTCACCCAGAAGGCCCTGAGATGCACGCCTGAAACTCCGCAATGCTTCAGTTGTGGTCCTAGCATCCCTGCTGCTGCGTCCTTCACTATGCAAGTATATGTGGATGTATGCATATATGTATTAGTATACATGTTCTGGTTTTCCGTCAATTCCTCACCAAAGATGGACTTTGGCGGCAGAGTCATGTATACTGCTCCAGATACGAACTGTGACCTTGTCTCATTGCAGCAATGGTTGTTTGCGTAACTCTCCGTTGTCCCTCTCTCTCTCTCTCTCTCTCTCTCCCTGTCTCTTTCTCTCTCTCTCTCGCACTCTCTCTGGCTTTCTATCTCTCTCTCCCTCTCTCTCTCTCTCTCTCTCTCTCTCTCTCTCTCTCTCTCTCTCGCTCCTCTCTCTCTCTCGTCGACACAGCTTTTAGTATGGTGCATCTCTGTAGCTTTGCGCATCTTCGTTCCTGTACGTACATGTCCAGGCAAATAGCTATTTTTGCTCGGAGTGCAAGGTTATGTTTGTTAGCCTCCTCGCTTGTCCACAGTCCCACATGAACGCGCTCTACTTCGGAGTCGAGGAGGTGCCTTCGCCACCGTCTCAGTCCTGCTGGCTGTTGGCAACACAGAGCACCTTGAGGTATCCGAAGGCCGTCTCATCCTCCGGGAACGGCTTTAGCGGGCGCTACATTAGGTCTGCAGGTCCTGGGTTGCCCGCTCAACCCTAAGGAGCTTGTGTCCTTGTTTCGCAGCTCACTTCATCCCCAAACCAAAGCCAGCAAACCTGGATCCTCCACCGCAAAGCTTCACATCCAACCCTCTCGCGAAGCCTCTGCATTCCTCTTCCCCGAAGCTGCCCAACTCTTTGATCATGTGGTAGAAGTCAGGCCGACAACATCAGGCAAGGCACCACGTGCGTACATCTACCAGGCCAGCTGGACAAACTCAGAGGGCTGGCTCTCTCTCTCTCTCTCTCGCTCTTTTCTGTCTCTGTGTATAACCGCATGTCTTTTGCATTTTAATATAGTGTGTTACATGCATTCTTACACATATGTATGCAGGGATGCATGTATATATGTATATATGAATGAATGAGTGTATGTAAGTTTAAACGCTCGTCCGCCTCGGCCCGGCTGTGGTGCATTGTTTCGGAAAGCAGCAACCCGAAAGCCTACCAAGGCCCATAGGCCTGAAACCCGAAACTTAAAACTCCAAACCTTAAAGCTTAAAAGTTGAGCCCGAAACCCTCAGCGTATGAGGAGAAAGCGCAGCCCCTGATGCAAGCGTGAAGCGCGCATGCTATGGGAGGGTCAGCAAGCAGTGCGAGACGGTTCACCAACCCAAAAGTTGACAAAATTGGAAGGGCCGGGAGGCTGGGGGGGAAGTGGGGGGCGGCTAAGTGAAACTGCCCGCAGAGAGCGAGATTTCACTGAGGGACCTTGAGCCTCATCCACAGCTTCACACAGAGGAGGGGGGGGGTTCAGGTGGCCACTTTTCGGGGTGGGGGTCAGTGGGGAGGGGATTAAGAGGTGGGGAATAGAGGGAGTCCGTAGAGGTACTTTCAGACTTATATGCCTACGTCCTGAATCCTAAACTCTAGTTCTTCGCGACTCAGTCCCTGGTCCATTTGACACCCGTCTCTTTCCAACGGATCCCATAAACCCCTGTGAAGCCCAATTTACAAAAAGAAATCACTGCCACTTCAAGACCCTGCACTGCACGTTAGCCTTGCTTCTCCTGAACCCTAAACCGAACACCCTACAACCCTCAACCCTTAATCCTAATGCTCAACCCTCCACCTTTAACCCTAAACGCTAATGCCCATGTTGCAAACCCGCAAGCCTCTAAAGCATGCGGCGGCTATCGAACTTGCCGAGCGCAAGTAAGGCTCCCAAATTTTCGGTCGCTGTGTGGATCCACTGGTATCCCGCTAAGCCGCGTGCCGCGAACAGCACCAAGAGTGGCATAAAAAGTAGTTCCGTCTTCACCGCTGTCGTCCACGACGGCACGGGTTATTGCCAGCTGGAAGCGTGGTCTGTGCAAGCGGTCACGCTTTCAGAGCGCCTACGCTCAGTAGGGGATCGACTGCCAGGTCTGCGTCTCGACATTGCAGCGTTGCTGCACTCAAAGCAGTGGTTTGCAAGTTACATAGTAGGCCCCAACATTCCCGTTTCGTTGGTGACTGGACATGTGAACTTATGTGTATCGTCCGCTGAGGCCAATGTGAAGATTGCCCCGTTGGGGAAATCGGCGATCGGGTTCGATAAGCAGAAGCTGCTGTTTGCACCGGAATCCACATCAACTTCGTGGAAGCTGCCCCGCAGCTCCCCTCGCTGGCTGTGTTGTCCACAGCGTTAGGCACTGTTGGGGAGGCAGCAAGCACAACGCGGCCTGCAGCCATCTCGATTCGGGGCCAGGCAAGCGTTTGGTGATCGGTTCACCAAAACCTTATTCTAGTTATTAAGGACCCTAGACAGGGCCCTTAGAGTAACTCCCTAACGGAAGCCTATGCCAGTCATTCAGGCCCCTACATAAAGAGACTTCTTGGAAGGCATTACTTGGAAGTTCATGGGTAGGAGACTAAGAACTCCACTTGTAAAACTACTACCATTAAAGCCTCCAGCCCTAGACCCTTATTAAAAGCCTGGTGAACCCTTCATACCCTGTTCCCTAAGGGTCCATGTACCCATATAGAGATACATGGTCCCCAAAGTATCCAAATAGGGACTACTTTAACCTCTGACCGCTTCGGCCGGGGCCGAGGCGAATATGTAATATGCGCAGTGTAATGTATATAATGTATGTAATGTGTTCAATGAGTGTAGTGTATGCATGCATGCACGTACGTACGTCCGCACGTAAGTCTGCATGTATGTGTTTGTGTGTCTGTGTGCAGTTTACATGCATGCATGCATGCATGGATATGTGTATGTATGTATGTATGTAGTATGTATGTATGTCTGCTGTACGTACATACATCCACCTCGACATCCACATACACATACTCGCTTTCTCGCTTTGGGGCACAGAGTCACAAGTCGGGCGCAGCCCATTGGCTTGCGCACCTCATTAATGAAACCCCACCTGAAAGAGGCGGTGGGCCCCTCAAGCGCCTCGCTTTGGCTAGCGAGAAGAGCGCCAATGCCCCGGAGCAGAAATCTACTCGAAGGTAGTGTGCATTCGGGGCTTAAAATCGCAGCAGCCATGACGCATACCGTGAAGGGGCAGGTAGTTCCTCACAGTCGGGTCCAGTGGAGGCCATCCAATACCGCAGGGACCCTCATGCAAGGCCACACTAAAGGCACAGTGACTGCGTATGCACCCTTTGGAACAAGCGAAAAGGAAACAACTATCCAAACAGAAACACTAAGGCACTGAAGATATGCACAGAACATGCCGTAAGGCGTCAAGCCAACAGGCTGACAGATGAGATGCGCATGGTCAGCATCTCATTGTGTACAGGCGGCAGCAATTTTGGATCTGCAACTCTGGGAACTCAACTTCAAAACATCACATGCTACTGTGCAATGCAGTAACAATACAAACTACTCAGGGGGCAATCAGCTCAGTAGTATTCCTCACTGGTACTCTTCGCCGCATTCGGCGAAGGCTTTCACGGCCTCCTTCACGGTTTCATGGACGTGAAGGAGGTACTTGTTGTCGAAGGAGCCGACGGCTTCGGACTGGCAAACCCTCTCTCTGCCGGCTGCTTGGAGTCGTCTGCCCTCTAGGCTCCGGTTGAACGCATTGCCAAGCGTCAAACTCCGCAGGCTGCTTGCCCTGTTTTGCGACTTCCTGGACTCTTGGTGCACGAGTCTGCGGAGGGCACCAGGATAGGCAATTGGTAGAAATTTCAGGCCTTGTTTCACCCAATTCGATGCAAGCCAAATGGCCGCGTCACTCTGATTCAACGCCCGAAACAGCAGAAAACAACAGACGTACATGTGTATTTATGTATGCTGTACGTACATGCATCCACCTCGACATCCACATACACATACACATGCACATACATAGTTATATCTTTCCTCTCTCTCTCTTTCTCTTTTCCCTGCATCTCGCTCTCTCTCCCTCTCCCTCGCTCGCTTATCGAGCTGTGAGGAAATGTTGGTGAGGAGGCCTTCTGTGCTCCTGCACCAACAACTTCAACTCATGAAAACACTCTACCGCGGCAAGAAGCTCCGAGAACAAGCAGCCCGCATCCCTGCAGTGTCAGCCGAAGCATAGTCGAGCTTTACAAGCTGTGCGAGCTGTCCAAGGCCTCGATCCTAGATCAAGTATGAAGAGTCCGCATCCGAATACTATAACGCTGGTACATGAGACGAGAAAGTGTTCACGACGTGAGCCCGAAGTTGCTGTTTTGTTCGAGGCTGAAGGCCTGCATAGCCCGTCGACACCAAACTCTCAACCACAAGCTTGAGACTCAACTTCGAACAGCTACGCAGCTCTGATGAACAGGCAGCCGGATTCCATGCGAAACCTTGTCCATTTGATGTTTGTCTCTGTCCCTAGAATCGAGGACACAGCTGGGGCCACCGTGAAAAAGCACTTCCTTACGCTGGTCTGGCACGGCAGCTCAGGGGTCTCGAGCTGGGGAATTCAATTCAACTGGTTCAAATGTTAGCATTCGGGTTCATCCATCAGCCATCATAGCAACAACCACGACAGAATCTGCAGCAAACCCAAACCGGTCAAGCCAATCGTATCAATGTTATTCATGCTATTTATCTAGTTGGGTGCATTGGAATTTTGCAGCCGTTTAATGGGCCGCTAAGGTTTTGGCATTTAAAGTTGCTAAGGCTCAGGGTTGTGGGAAATGATCGTTTGCGGTGCAGTGGTATTGTGAAGTCGGATCATTGCTTCGAGTCTCTGGGGCTTGGACCTGGAGCCCAAAGACAGACGAGTTTCGGCTTAGACTTTGGGCTCGTTACAAACTCTTGATTGCAGCACGAAGGGTATCCAGCTCTTGGGTTTGCATGCTTTCGGGCCCCAGAGTATTGTACCTTCGGCTTGCCGTAAGGTATGAAGAGAGAACTTGAAGCTGTAACTTTACTTAGTAGCGTTTAAGTGTGGGCTTTAGGCTCTGTGTTGAAAGTCTGGAACTTCAGTAAGGGCTGCCTGTGCTTTGAGACTTGGGTCTCGGTCTGTGGGGCACACTCTGAACACCAAATGCCCAAAGCACCATCCTGCCCCGGCGTTTAATGAATCTGCTACTACCATCTTTCGCACGATCTGTTTGTGGAGTCCTGCGGGCCTGTTAGCTCGAAAAACCCAGGCCGTACCTAGACCTTGCACAACTGGCCTGAGCTAGTAGCATTGGACAAGTTGCAGGTGCTCAGCACCTTCGAAGCTTCGAGATCCTAGCTGCTCCCTCTGAGGCAGGAAGAGTGGACTCAGAATCCCTTTGCTCGCCACAAGCGCTGGCCCCAGGATTTTTTGCTGGAACACTCATGGTCTGGATCGTGTCGGACTAGGTCCTAAATCCGAAGTCGGCGAATTCAGAACTCAAGTTGGAGGATATAGTAAGTCCAACGAAATCGGGGCCTCTAGCTGAAGTTTGGAGGTTAGGCCGCTGACAAAGGAAGCAAGTCGCAAGGGCTAGACTGGAATCGCGACTGCATCTTCAACCCCAAACACGTTGTTCACTTCGGATGTCGGGCGTCCGCTTCGGAATCAGGTTTGGGGTTCAGGCTTGCGGGATTGAGAGCTTTGGGGTGTTGGCACTTTGCGGTTCGTGCTCGCTGCAGTTTGAGGCTGGGCTCAGGCTTTCTCATGTCGACTTGTAGTTAGCATGGCTTTCACGAATGCAACTGCTTGTCGAAAAGTCTTCGCAGTTTGGCACAGGACTGGCTGTGTTGGATTTGATGCCTTTTCTCTCTATTTCCATGAACCACACCTTCTCAACGGCGCATGGAACGTAGCCCACTGTGAATCCTGGTCCTTAGCCGCCAGCCCCTTTTGCTCCTCACTCCAAACCCCTTTGCTGCAAACCTTGCCGCTCAATACATTAATCAGGGCTGAGGGATAGTTTCGGATTTCGGGTTTCAGGGCTGAGGATGGAACCTGACCAAGGTTAAAGCATCCGCCCTGACCATTTCCCTGCAGGTACATCAAAGGCAAGATCGTTTACCAACGAAGCCCGGAGGTGCAGCTTCGTTCCGGATCCGACTGATTCCGGAAGAGTTCAACGAAAGCAGCAACATGCTGGCAGATGGCATGAGTTTCTCGCCCAGCTTGTCATATGGCAGCAAGAACTACTTGTAGCTGGTTAGGATCTTGCAAAGACTTGGTTATGTGATATGCTGGCATTTCTGACAAGCATGTACGCGCGTGATGGCTTAGCAAGATGGGTCAGGAGACTAGGATTGTGCTTCACAGCCTTGCTTGCTGTCCGGTCCAGCGCAAAGTAATGCCTCAGTGGGTCTTTTCTGTGAAGGACATCGAGTTCTTCACAAAGGCCTACACCATCATGGATGGTAGGATGATGCTCTCCGAGATAGAGGACAGCCGACTCTTGTGAAATTCAGCTCCGAGTAAGACTGATGGGTACAGGCAGAATACTATGTGTTATATCTTGTAACATTGTAGAATGCCCACGGAACCGGATGCCAGCCAATATCGCCGATGCCTTCTGAACTGAAGGTTGCTGCAGGATACAGCACACATCACAAGACGACATACAACAGATTAAGAAAACAGCTCAGCCTGGCGATGCGAGCAGTGATTTGCATGCGGCTGTACGAGGCCCACTTGTGAAGGGCAAGCACTTACTTCTCTGAGGGTCGGGGTGCCGGCTTGCCTACTATTATATGTATTTTAATTAAATACAAATATGTACATATATATATATATATATATACATATATATATACATATATATATATATATATATCGACATACATACATATACATATGCAGAGGTGACGCACAATGTTGCCAGACTTGAAATCTGAAGTCATCCCTGCTGCACCAGCCTCAGATTTGATTCAAATTCGTCTGTGAGAGAAGAGATCAACCGAAAACGGAGCTCGAGCCGCTCAAGTCCTTAACGACATGCTGTAATGAGTCGTTTAGGTACAGGATTTAGGTAATGATAACATCCCGGTATCGTCGCCGTATCTTTGTTCGACCGGTACATGAACCCGCTCGACGGGTGTCGTGATGCTTGGCCCCCAGGACTTAGGCTTGGATGTTGCAATTGCGTGAACTGGGGTCTTATTAAGATCCGGTTTATGATTTCCAGCTTCAGATCATGATCCCTGCTAAACGACACGACGCTCCCTGAGTTGAGTTTCCAACTGTCAATGTTTTCGAGTTTCTACCAGCGAAACAGTCTTGCTATGCGAGGTTCTCAGCCATGGCTAACCGTCATTTCTTGCCACCTTCATCATCATATTCAACAACGTCGCCGTGATCAGCATCGCCACCATTGCCGGCATCACCGTACATGTCACGTTTGCCATCCTCGGCCGATGTTTGTCGCCGAATTAGAATTGCCCTGGACCTCAACAACCAGGACTCCAATCCATTCGACCTCAAATCACACATCTTTGATCCCCTAATGAGGACTCTGGTTTTCCCTCCCCGCTGCCGGGCGAAGATGTGAAGTGCCGGGCATTGGGCACGGGGGTTCGAAGTCAAAGGTTTCAGGACGTCTGCTTGACGAATAATGTGCTATGCTGCAGACTTCGTGGTGTGGACAAGCAAATCAGGTTGAAGGCAGCCTCGGAGGTTTAGCTTGTGAGGCTTCATCAAGAATGTTCAATGGTTTGAGGTTACCACTTTTCAAACTGCTTTGCGGCCGCTCTCGGTCATATCCTAGCATGTAACAGCTGCACGAGTAGCAGCTCCAGCGGCAGTAGCATTTTGATGGTGGTAGTCGTCGTAGTGGTAGTCGTTGTCGTAACAACAGTCGCTACTACAGGGCATCTGCCGGATAAGAAATGCCAGCTCCCAGCGTTGGGTAGCCTTCATTTCTCAGCTTCCTTTTGGTCTCACATGTCCGCATGTCCCCGCTCCCCAATCGTTGAGGACCTTTCATGTCTTACTCATTTCTTAGCCGGGGCTCGCACCCATGGAAGTCCAGGTACTGAGTCAGATGCTTTGACCATTAGCCTAGACAGACACCGAGACGACGGTGTTCCAATACACTATGTATACTGTTTGTGCCCCAGTCTTAGGCTTGGAAACCACCAAAAAGAAACGTAGCCCCCTACAGTTCTAATTTTGGCTGCCTTGTACCCTAGGCTTAGAGCTTGGAAACCACCAAATCCTGCAGTTCTGATTTTAATTTGGCCTCTGCCTTGTGCCCTAGGCCTGCTCGAACCACCAACACAAGAAACGGGCCCCATTTCTGATTTTAGCCTCTGCCTTGTGCCCTGGCCTTAGGGCTTGGTAACCACCAAAACAAGAAACACTGCCCCCTACAGTTCTTTTTCTGGCTTCTGCCCCGTGCCGTAGAGTTAGGAACCGGCAACAACCCGACATAGAAACGTAGCCCTTCACCAGCCCAATAATAAGAAATGACCCTACAACGTTGGTTACCCTGTCGGGTACCCTTCATTTCGTAGCTAGAAGGCGTGATAAACTTTCAGCTTTCCGGTGCTGTTCGGCTGACGTAGCCCCTTCTATAAGCCACTGATTGCACTGTACTAATACTGCTTCTGCTACTGCTACTGCTGCTGCTACTACTACTACTACTATACTACTCCTACTACTACTACTACTACTACTACTGCTACTACTACTACTACTACCACTACTACTGCTACTACTACTACTACTACTAGGCTTGCGCGCCTCCTGGCGCCTGGTAGTTTGGAGGTGTTCGAGGGTCAAAAGTATCGGTTGTTACAGGGTTTTGTGAAAATCGCAGTTTGGGTACGTTGTCAGAAACTACTTTGTTTTACTAATAAGTACAGTTTTGGATGACGATGATGATGCTAGTGATGCTACTGATGATGATGATGAAGATGCTGAGAATGCCAACGATGTGCATGTTATTGGAAGCCAATCTTCGGACTGAGGACTACGGCCACTAGTGCTACTACCTACGACAACTACTACTACTAGGCCTGCTACACTGCTGCAGAACGACTCGTGCCTTCAGCCCAGTCGAACAAAAGGCTCCATAAAACGCTCCAAAGTACCGGCACTGCCAGTGTTTTGGCAACAAGAAAACCATTGCGCTACTGTTAGTGCCACTGGTACTGGTATTGCTACTGCGACTGCTAGTGCCGCTGCTGCACTATTAGTGTACTGTGCTACTGCTACTGCCACTGCCACTGTTACTGCTACTGCCAACACAGGAAAATCGAGCCACTGTGCGGGCCCCCCCGCCTGACGACCCCCCCGCACCAGTGGAAGAAAATGCTTCGAAAACACACAAAAATCGAGCCACACCGTGGGGATTGCGTTTTCGGCAAAAATCGCGGTTCAGCATGTCGTGATTGACACCCCCACCAAACCCTGCCCTCCCAGTCGAACAAAAGGCCCCATAAAACGCTCCAAAGTACCGGCACTGCCAGTGTTTTTGGCAACAAGAAAACCACTGCGGTCGACCATGTCGTTATTAACCCCCCCACCCCCCACCCCCCCCCCCAACCCAAAACCTCCCCGAAACACTTGAAAACAGAGCAAAACACCAGGCGCCAGGAGGCGCGCATGGGTACTACTACTACTACTATTACTATTACTATTACTATTACTATTACTATTACTATTACTATTACTATTACTATTACTATTACTATTACTATTACTATTACTATTACTACTACTACTACTACTACTACTACTACTACTACTACTACTACTACTACTACTACTACTACTACTACTACTACTACTACTAGTACTACTGCTACTATTGCCACACATTATGCTACATTTACTTTTACTTGTATTTCGGCTATTAGGACCAGCGTTGCACGGACGACGCAGAGCGAAGTAGTAACGACATGTAAAAGCCCACGATACCTGAGGACCACGCAGGCAAGGCTTGCAAAGACATACAAATAATGACTGAGAAGTCTTAGCAAGAAGAGTGCCTCCAGTTATGTGTGTATTGCTTGGCCTCTCTGAGGTCCTAAGTGCGACCTGCTGGATCCAATGTTTTCAATTTTTCGTCTCCAGTTGATGCACTGCCAGGTACTTGGACAATGCGCCGTGAGCAGCATGAAGTAGACTGTTGACCTGTGCATTGTTTCCCGTTCAAGCCTCGGCGGCGCTCTGTGTTTAAACGATGTGCTCAAGCTTTTAGCGCCTGCGCCGTGCACCAGCTTCCTTCGGCGATTCCCGGCGCTGGAGACTTTTAGTGCGAAACCACTGCAGAGCAGTGGAAATGCTACATGAGCTGTGCAATGGATCTGTTGCACTTCCAGTCACGCGACAGTGGCAGACAGCATATGATGGATTTCGTGAATTTATCTTTCCCTCTACAAGATCCTTCTCATACGGCTGTTACTGTAAAGAAGTGGGGTCTCGTTGTGGGAAGCTCTCACACTGGCAGTGCCGAATGGAACAGGCTTGAGGTTCCCCCCTTAGAATCCTATTTCCCTGCGCTTTGGGCTTCAGGTTCCGGTCTAGCTCTTGGATGTAAGGCTTGGTGTTTGGGACAAGCCTCTTGCTCATGTTGCAATGCGAATATGTGTCCGCGGTTGAGGACGACAGTGTTCTTCAAGTACACGGTAGAGCTCTACGATAGTGAAGCCTACGGTGGTTGCAGCTCATTCTGTGACTCCGGCCTTCTCTCAACGGAGCTTCGGCGGAGTCCTTGTCGGACACACCGTCTCGGGCGAGCTTGAGTGCAACCCTCTGTCTGTGTGGCTACATAAGGACGGAAAGTATTGCCAGGTAAACAATTGTCGGCGGCTACAAGTTTTGGACAGGGTTCATGTGGTAGTGCATCAACTTTCTGGGGGATCGAGTCTACCGTTTGGAACCAGTGTTTTGTTTTTCTGTAGTTGCCTTTTTGTTTTTTTTGTTCTCGTTGCGCGGACCCACCAAGCCAGTGAGTGAGTGAACCCCGCTGCCCGCAACGACAGCAAAAAAAAACGTGCCCCCCAGGGACGGCAAAAAAAGAAAGCGCACCCGCGCAAGGACACCAAGACAAAAAACATGCGCCCCCGCAACGACAGCAACAAAAAAAACAGCGCGCCCCGCAACGACAGCAAAAAATCAACGACTGCGAAAAAACACGGGGCGCGGTTTTTGTTGGCTGTCGTTGCAGGGGCGCGTTTTTTTTTGCTGTCCTGGGGGGCGCGTGTTTTTTGCCCCCAGGGACGACAGCAAGAAAAAACGCGCCCCCCAGGGACGACAGCAAAAAAAAAAAAACGCGCCCGCGCAACGACAGCAAAAAAACAAAAAGCGCCCCCGCCGACAGCAAAAAAGCAACGACTGCAAAAAGAAAAACACTCTTACCGTCTATCTTAGAAGGGTTTCTGACAAGCATACAGGCACAGTTGCCAGCCCCTCTTGTCCACGGCGGCAAATCCAACCCTCGTGACCGTAAATCGGAGA